TCATCTTGATGCTACGTCACAAATTGAAAAAAGAATTTGCTAAAATATTTATTTTTGTAGTAAATAAAAGATTTTGACATAAATTCTCAGAAATGTAGAGAAATGAACTATAATTCATATTCCCTTGTACACACATGGGAATTGAAATAATGACATCTTTATTGTTTTATGTGTTTCTTTCCATCTTTCATTTTTTTTTAAATTTGATTTTTTTCAATCAAATTTGGTGCCCCATTTAACTTGGCACCCTAAGTGACAGCCTAGTTTGCTTATATGGAAGGGCCACCCCTGTATCCAAGATAGCTTTAATCTAGTTAGCTTGGATACCAGAAGCAGACACCGCTTGCTTTACTCATGTGGCTAGTCCATGCTGATTGCTCAGGGTTCCAGGCAGGCTTGTACCTCCCGGGCTGAAGCATGAGCTGCCATGGCTTCACTCTTCTGATACCCAAGATAGCTAGATGAAAGCTACCTTAGGTATGTCCACTCAAAGTACATTCTGTGACAAAGTTCCTTCTCTACCTTGGTGGGTCCTGCACTTATTGGCGGATTTGCTCACCTCAGAGATTCACGGCAGCCCTCAGTTTGGCCACTTTTGCTAGTGGCTCAAATGTGCCATTCACTCAGCTAACCTCATCACTAGCCAGCATGGGGAAAGGGAGAAGAACAATCCCCACAGTCTCTGCTGACCCACCTAGTGGGTCAGGGGATAGGCCAGGGACCTTCCTCTCTGGTGGGACTGTCAGTTCAGGTCACCGCCTCTTGTCTCAAATAGCGAGTTGAGGGGAATGTGGGGGAACCCCGGCCCGCCCTCTACTCTGGGTTCCAGCCCAGGGCCCTGTGGATTCCAACCGTCTATAGTGTCTCTTGTAACAGCTGCATGACAGCTCCAGCTCCATGACAGCTCCAGCTCCCTGGGCTACTTCCCCATGGCTTCCTCCCAACACCTTCTTTATCCTCAACACAGGACCTTCCTCCTGATGTCTGGTAACACTTGTACTTCACAGTCCTCCAGCAGTACGCCTACTCACTCTCAGCTTCTTGCTCCCAGCTCCTCACATGTGCCTCACTGACTGAAGTGAGGTCCTTTTTAAAACCAGGTGCCCTGATTAGCCTGCCTGTCCTAATTGATTCTGGTAGCTTCTTAAATTGCTCCAGGTGTCCTAATTAGCCTGCCTTAATTGGTTCCAGCAACTCCCTGATAGTTCTGGAACAGCCCATTATCTTACTCAGGGAAAAGGGACCTGCTTAATCTGGGGCCAATATATCTACCTTCGATCACTAGTCCTGTAGCCACTGGCCTGACCCCGTCACAATTCATACTCCATGATTGCAGTGTAGACAAACCCTAAATCAGCAGTTTTAAAATAATTTCTTAAACTGAGGGAGACAGCAGCCAGTGTGGCACAGATTGAGCACAAAGGAATTTGGACAGAGTATGAATGTTTCTCAGAGGAAGATTCAGCTGTTCGTTAACTAAATTAAACCACTAAAAAAGTAGCTTATTTTTGAATGAGAAAACCTACTTCTTAGTGACAGAGTAAAACCTTCCAGTATAACTATGGAGGTAAAAGTCAAACAGCATGTAAGTCAGGCTGAGGGCTATGCAGTTTACTGCACAAAGTTCAAAGATGGGTTGGGCCTGTTGTTGCCAAGTGATGGAATTTAATTATTTTAAGGTTCAAACAGCTACTTTAAATACATTTATTTATTTAGTTATTGCTTCCATTGTGGAGTGAGGTAGGAGTTTCTTTAATAATAGATAGCACAGACAATAGGTACCGAAGTGAAATTATCTGAATTTGACAAATAGGGAGCGTTGTCTGAATGCATCAGCCCACTTAAAGTTTGACCAGGGATGGAACCAGAGTGGTTATGCACCCAAGGCCAGTTATAATTTTGCCAGAACCAAAGTGCTCAAAAATAAAATAATATGAACTAATACATTACACTGACCAAATATATCTTTGAAGTAAGCATTAGTGTGTCTTCATCTCACAGGATGTTGGTATCAGAAAGATATAAATAGGTATATATGTATATAGAAAGAGCAGTAGCACGGCTAGCTTTATGCTAAATAAAATAGACTATACAAACAACTTCTAAGATAAATTCAGAGAGGGGATGTAGTCTAGTGAATAAATTGGAAAATGGCACAGTTCTTGCCACTAGCTATGGCCTAGGGTATGTTTACACAGCAGGTGGGAGGATGCTTCCGAGAACAGGTAGACAAACACATTAGTTTGAGTTGAGCTATCACTGTGAAAATAGCAGTGTGATTGTGGCGGCATTGGCAGTGGCTTGGGCTAGCCACCTGAGGACATACCCAGGAGGTAAGGTGAGTTTGTACTCAGTTAGCCTGAGGCACAGTGTGTGTCACCATGGTCACACTGCTAATTTTAGCAGAACTAGCATGTCTGACTACCCATGCTGGGAATAACCTTCCCAGCTGCTGTATAGACATACCCTTAGGCGACATCTACATTACACACTGATGGCAGTGACATGTAAGGTCTATGTAGCTACATGCTGCAGTGAGAAAAGCAAGCTGTGTCCACACTGTGGTGTATAGCTACTTGTATCAGTGAAAAGCTTCAGCAGCTCCCCACTGCCAGATCCTTTCACTATGGTGAGGAATGGCTCTGGGAGAGGGGAGGCAGTGGGCTTTCCCAACTGCCTCCCCCAGCCAGAGTCTTTCCCTGTAGCCGGGGAAGGTACCAGCAGTAGGGAGTTGGCAAAGCAGGAAGTCAGCAGGGAAAGATTCAAGCAGCCAGAAGCTGGCAGAGCCTTCCCCTGCAGCTACTCCCAGGGGAATTCTGCAGCACTGCAGAGGTACAGAATTCATGTCATCCACAGATTTCTTTGCTTCCCCACAAAAAAATGACTTCTCAGGAGAAACAAAGGGAAGCTGCAAGAGAGGTCACTTGCTCCTCTCAGGCAGACCAGGGCAGCTGGCAGAGACATAAACCAGCATGGGAGGGAACTGGGCATGGGAAGACGTCAATCACCACCGGGGTGTGAGGCAGCTCAGGCATGTAAATGAGTGAACAAAACAGACTGTCTCTCTGGCTTGCTATTGCAGCATGCTTGGTGTGGAGGGGCAGGGCTTTGGGGTGTTTGGAGGTAAGGGTGAGGCAGGCTCTGTCCCCTCAGCAGAGCATAATGTTGCAGCCTGCCTGCTTAGTTGTTCCCATTGTTGTTAGTGAATTGTTCTCATCAATTCCCCCAGGAACATAAAACAGGTGTAAACGTTTTTTAAGTCCCATTTACATTGCCAGAATGGTGTAAAGGAGCCTTATTGTAAATGACGGTATGCAGTTATAAGTGATCAGAACTAGTCAAAATTTTTGAACTGAAAAATTTTCCTATCAAAATGTGCTTTATGAACTGTTTACTACTGACCTTTCTGAAGATGGTCAATAGCTAATATAAATTGTGAGTTTGATTCCTCAGCATTCACTTGCCTATGATATACATACTGAGCATATGATTGCTTATATTTGTTGACTAATAACTAGAAATAAATGGTCAAACCTAGGTACATTACTATTAGAGAAAGGGGGGTTGGGGATTTCCGCCAATGCTCCCCACTACCATTCTCTTGCCATTCTCCATCTAGTGTATTGTAGCTTAAATAAATTACCAAAATAACTGAAACTGGCGTGATTATATTGCATTATTTTGACGAATAAAATATGCAGAATTTTGCAGAATTTAAAAATATAGTGCGCAGAATTTTTAATTTTTTGCACAGAATTCCCCCAGGAGTACCTACTGCAGAGAAAGACTCTAGCAGCAGGGAACTGCCAGATCCTCTCCCTGCTGTGAGTGGTTTTCCTGTGGCAAGGAAAGGCTCTAGCAACAGGAAAGTAGCAGGAACAATACATTGCTAAAAATAGCAATGTAGACATGGCGGTATGGCTTAGGCAAGTCAAGAGCTGTGTAGCATGTGCGCTCGGGTACACACCCACACTCTTCAGATGTGTCTTTACTCTACTCACCTAAGCTGTGCCTCACTGTCTACACAGCTATTTACACTCATGGTGAAAGGGGGCTATCAAAGTATGTAATCTAAAGAAGCATGCAGTGTAGACATATCTTTAGTTTCTCTGTATTTAACATGGGTATATGAACAATAGTTACCTTATATTTAACCTGTGTACATGATCAATATTACCTACATAACAAAGGTGTTTTGAGGGTTAAATTAAATGTCAAGTGCTTTGAAATGCTTGGATGCCAAGTACTATTATATAAATGCAAAGCACCATTTGTGAATTCTGGTCTGTAGCCACTAAGAAGAATACTCTCTTATGATTGAGTCTAATCAGCCCTTAGATGGGCAACTCTTGCTTCACAAATACAGCAGGAGCAGTGTGAACTTGACAGTAGAAATATTTGTTTCTCAAAGAGATAGCATATCAGCAGTTCAGATAATCTAGATCAGAGTTATTTGTTCAAGATGATTTTTAATAAAATACTCTATAAATAAAGACAACAAGAATGCTGCTAGTACTTCATCTTGATGACTTCTATACCATCCTTTAGGATTTCAGCTGCCTCTTGTGGTATATTAATGTTGACCACCCTCCCTTCATTTAAACCACTCCTTATAATATACTACTTCCATGTACCATATCAAAATTATTTCACCAGCAAGAGAGATTGTTCTGGAAAAGTGTTATTAAAAATAAATGTTATACCACACTTTGAGATACCCTGGATGACCCAAATATGTGGCTATTATATCTCTGTATTGTGTTTTAGAATGAAAACTCCTTGAGGCAGTAGCAATGTCTTCCACTGTTTTGCACTGTCCCAAGCACACTATCTGCCCAGCAAATAATAAATAAGGTTATCTTTGTCTTTATTTCACTTGAGGGAGATCTATATCTAAATATAGAATGTATACACACAGTACAATATGTTTCTTTTGTGATAGAGAATAAATGGAGTTTTCTAATTGTTCGTTGATCATAAAGTCAACAGATTCCAGTTAGTAATGAAAAAAACTATACATTTAATATGAAAAGCAACTTCAAGTACTTTCAATACAGTTTAGTATTCAGTATATAGTTTTTATTTTTTTTATCAAAAGTGTATTTGGGAGATTATTTAATATTTCATTTTTGAGTACTGTTCATTTTTGCATGGAGTTTAAAATGTCCTGTGTTTGGTGATCTCAACTAGCTCTTCACAAGAATTATAGTTCACGCCACACAACCTCTGCATGTGTTTCAAAACTGAGTCTGGCTTGGACAAAGTCAGAAATGCAGTGAATGTGTCTGGAAAATACACTACTGTATTCTTCCACAGTAGATCAGGTTGCAGACCTTGGTATGAAGCAGTACACAAGACTGCTGCTTGTAAAATAATACCTGACCTTAGCATAAATAGTACAGTAAATTTCATTTCCCAGAGCTATTCGTCCCTTAATCATTCAGTACAAAAATAGTTACAATTAGGTATATATTGCACCAATTTCCTCACTGTTATTACTTAACTCCACAAGATCCTGAATAGCTCTCACCCTGCATTAACTGTTCTCTTTGTTTCACTAGGATTACACTAAGATATTAATTTCCATAGAAAACATGGGAAAAGGGCAACAGACACACATAAGTTGTGTGATAGTGGATTTCTATAACATTGTTAAATAGTGTAGTTTAGCAGCATTCACAAAGGAAACTACACATTAGACTTGGAGATCATTTTCTCCAGTAGGTTCATCATTCTCTCCTGTAGCTGCAGGCTTTGAACTTGAATGATGTTTTGCTGATCTAGAATCCTGCGCACCTCCCTACAGGTTTCTTCCATAGCTCTGCTTAACTTCTTTTGTTCTTCCAACATGGCTTCCATTAGTTTTAGTTTCTTCTTTTGGAAACTACAGCTTTGAAGCTTTCTTTTCTTAACTGGTCTTTCTTCAGCTCTGAAATACAAATATTTTTTAAACATTAAACTCATATCTGGTAAACTATAACTAGGGCCTAAAATTTTATAGCCCTTTCTTGATCAAGTTATGTCTACTAGGGCTGATAAAAACCAACTTTATCCTACTATAGCTTTTAAAAAGTGCATTTTTACAGTTATATCATTTAGAAAAAGTTATTACTGAGCTTCTGGAAAAGAGCCAGGAATTTCCTTGTTTTTAACAAGGGTTTACTTTACATAATGCAAGTCAGAATATTCGCCTTTTATCGGATTTTCTTACCCTTTAAGCACCAAAGTTTTATTGTGAGAGGTTGGTTACTGTCTTTGAAGAACCCATCTTGTTAAAAATATATTTATACTGGACTTGGAATTCTAACTCCATAGCTACAGTAAACATCTCATCACCAGGCACTGCTACTTTAGGGCAAGATTGTAGCCCATTGTTACAGATCCTGCAGAGCTCTGCACCAATGAGGCTGTTCCCACTGTGGTGTAAGCCAAATCTCAAATTCTGTCCTTGCAGTACTTTCTCTTTGTGTCTCTCAATCAGTCCTTAAATTGCTGCCTGTAATTTGCCCAGAGACCTACCTCCATATAGGGAGGTGTCTGGTAAGAGAAATTAACTACTACTAGACAAAATAAAGTTCTTAAGAAAATCAAATAGACTATTTCTGATCTTTGGAGAAAAATCTATGAGTTAAGTCAGCTCAACTTAAAGGCTACATAGGTGGATAAGACTACACATCCAGCCATGTTATAAATTAGCTGATGTGCCTCTGCCTGGATGTGTCAGAGCTCCCTCAACTAGGGAAATAGCATCTTTAATAGCATGCACCTGCTGTATGTCCTTATCTGAAATCTGTAGGACTGTTACTTTTTTTTTATTTTGGGGTGGGGGATGTCACATCTTCACAAATCGCTATTTGCTCAATGGTGTATCAAGATCAGTTTCTGGGTTTTGGAATATAGTGCTCAAATTGTTACTCAATTAGCAAGGGTCCTCACTCAGTGCACCACCTCTGAATGGTCAGTACTAGTCAGTCTTCTACACTAGGGCTTTGCAGCAGCAATGTAATGAAGAAGAAAGAGGGGTAACAGACAAACAGTAACTCTTGTTCCCCAAATGTATTGCTACCAAAGAACGACACTGACCTTCACCCTTGTTCATTCTACTTCAGAGCCTACTTGTAAACAGTGCTTCAATAAGTGGAGAAAAATTGGGAGACTGTTAAGGGAGGGAGTGAAAGGGGTATTTGCATCCTCAGTCTATGGAAAGTAGGGATCAAGAAAATTGTGTGCGTCTCTCAACAGTCAATCACTGCTCAAAAGGTTTCTGTGACCATATGGCTAAGCACAAATCTCCTAGCGTGTGGTTCTGTAGAGGCAATACTGCTGGAGAACAAGAGCAACTACTGACATGATGATCTGGAAGGAAACAGAGAAAATAATTGCTGATAAAATTTGGAGATCATGATTGGCAGAATAGTAAATGATGATGAGGACAGGGCAGTCATTTAGAGTGATCTGTGTTCTCCTAGTAAGGTAGGCCCAATCAAACAAAATGTGTTTTAATACAGCCAAATGCAAGGTCAGACATCTAGAAATGATGAATGCAATACATAATAGGGGTCTGTAATAAATATAAAGGGAAGGGTAACCACCTTTCTGTATACAGTGCTATAAAATCCCTCCTGGCCAGAGGCAAAACCCTTTCACCTGTAAAGGGTTAAGAAGCTAAGGTAACCTTGCTGGCACCTGATGCAAAATGACCAATGAGAGGACAAGATACTTTCAAATCTGGAGGGGGGGCGGGGAACAAAGGGTTCTGTCAGTCTGTGTGATGCTTTTGCCAGGAATAGATCAGGAATGCAGCCTTACAACTCCTGTAAAGTTAGTAAGTAATGTAGCTAGAAAATGCATTAGATTTTCTTTTGTTTAATGGTTTGTAAAATAAGCTGTGCTGGAGGGAATCTATATTCCTGTTTTTGTGTCTTTTTGTAACTTAAGGTTTTGCCTAGAGGGATTCTCTATGTTTTGAATCTGATTACCCTGTAAGGTATTTACCACCCTGATTTTACAGAGGTGATTCTTTTACCTTTTCTTTAATTAAAATTCTTCTTTTAAGAACCTGATTGATTTTTCATTGTTCTTAAGAGCCAAGCGTTTGGGTCTGTGTTCACCTGTACCAATTGGTGAGGATTATTATCAAGCCTTCCCCAGGAAAGGGGGTGTAGGGCTTGGGGAGGGATATTTTGAGGGAAGATGTCTCCAAGTGATCTCTTTCCCTGTTCTTTGTTTAAAACATTTGGTGGTGGCAGCATACTGTTCAAGGACAAAGCAAAGTTTGTACCTTGGGGAAGTTTTTAACCTAAGCTGGTAAGAGTAAGCTTAGGCGGTCTTTCATGCAGGTCCCCACATCTGTACCCTAGAGTTCAGGGTGGGGAAGGAACTTTGACATGGTGGCAGAGCGGTGGGATCATTTTGAACCAGAGATTATTTTGAACCAGAAGCACAGTAGGATTTTAAAAGGACATTTTTTTTTCCTTTGGGCTGCTTGGAAGCAGCTTTTAAGTTGAAAGCAGTTAGAGTTTTTCTGTCTCTTTGCCTGGGGACAGAGCATCTCCATAACAAAAGGATTTTTCTCTAAGCTGAGACCTTTTTTTCTCTGATAGCTGTTCTCAGGTTACAGCACACCAAATTTTACAAGCCAGGTTTTTTTTCTAACTCTCGGGTGTAAAGTTAGTTAAAAACAGAGAGGTTACGATGTCAGAATGCAATGTTCAACAGAGGCTGAGGAAAGATAGAAGGAATATGAAAGATGGGTAGAACTCAAACAAATGGAGATTGATGCACAAGCAGCCAAAGACAAAACCAGGGGGGAGGCAAAAGAAAAAGAAATGGAGGCTGCCTACAGGAGAGCTATGGAGGCAAACGAAAAAGAAATGGAGGAGAGGGAAAAAGAGAGGAAGCATGCACTGGAGATAGAAAAGGCAAAGGCTCAGCAGAATATACCAGATAACCCTAACAATCCTTCCCCAACAATCCACAAATGGGAGCGACTATGTTCACAGTATGATGAATCCAGTGATATTGCTGAATATTTTCTCACCTTTGAGAGACTGTGCACACTCCATAAAATTCCTGAAACTCACAAGATGATCACATTGGTCGCAAAATTGACTGGAAGAGCTCTGCACATATTCAGTAAGATTCCTATTGATGAGGCTTCTGACTATAATATATTCAAGGATTTGGTTTTAAAGCAATTTCAAGTTACACCTGAAACTTGCAGAGTAAAATTTCGAACCCTTATGAGAGGGCCTGGACTAAGTAATGTGGCTTATGTAAACCAGATGACAGATCTATTTGATAAATGGCTCAACGGACGGGCTGTAACTAACTTTGGAGGAATGCGGGATTTGATGATACAGGAGCAATTCCTGAATACGTCCAAGGAGGATATAAAACAGTGTTTATAGGATAAGAAAATGGACTCAGCAGGAAGTCTGGCTTCTTATGCTGATCAATACGAGCAGTCCCAGACTGCCAGAGAAGCGGGCCAAACCAGAACAAAATGGGTGGAGTGAGGAGAGAGAAACAACCCTGGTCGCAGTTGGAGCGGATACCAGAAGGGACACCCTCAGACCACACCCTACTACCGGGGGCAGCTCAAGGCCCCAACTACACACCAAGGAACAGACACCTTATCGTCCTGTCACACCGTTCTCCATCAACCCACCTCGCCCCAGTGACCCGTCAGCTGGATGATGTTTTAAATGTAACGAGCCAGGGCATGTAAAGGCCAACTGCCCCAAGAACCCCAACAGACTACAGATCATTGCACCGGAATCACGCCAGAGGGCCTCAGGCCCAGATGCCTCCCAGATACCCTCAGAGCGGAGGGAAACTGTGAGTGTGAGCGGGAAGAAGGCCACAGCATGGAGGGACATCGGAGTATAAGTGTTGGCTAACCGTGCTTCCTTAGTGGACCCCAATTTAATCGACCCAGAGGTCCAAGTGACGATTCAACCCTTCAAGTCAAACTCTTTTGACTTGCCTACAGCCAAGTTGCCTGTCCAGTACAAGCGCTGGTCAGGAACATGGACTTTTGCAGCCTATGATGATTATCCCATCCCCATGCTGTTAGGGGAAGACTTGGCCAATCATGTGAAGCTAGCCAAGAGGGTAGGAATGGTCACCCGCAGCCAGGGTAAGCAAGCTGTCACACCTAGCTCTGTTCCAGAAACTTCTACCAAGACCCGGTCAGAGGTGATGGAACCGGACCCCATGCCAACGTCTGCAACAGCAGTAGTGGATCCAGTCACAGACACCCAGACAGAGCCAGTCCCAGAACCGGAACCAGCGGAACAACCAGCATCAGAACCATTGCCAGCACTGAATCCAGTACTTGCAACCCCAACATCAGAGGGCCCCACCGAACCTGCACTGGCAGCAGCAGATAACCCTACACAAGAGGCTCAGCTGGAGCCTGATCCCCAACATAGTACACCAGTGGAGAGCGGTTCACAGTCAACGGAAACAGTCCCATCACCTGCATCGCTTCCAGAGGGACCAAGCCCAGGTCCGCAATCCAATGAGGAACTGATGTCTCCAGCATCAGGGGAACAGTTCCAGATCGAACAGGAAGCAGATGAAAGCCTCCAGAGAGCTTGGACGGTGGCACGAAGCAACCCACTGCTTCTCAGCTCTTCAATATCTACGCGCCGACATTCTCAGCCACCCCAGGACTGACTGATCGGGCATACCACTCCATTGACACAGGTAATGCTCACCCAATTAGAGCCCAACCTTACCGGGTGTCTCCTCAAGCTAAAACTGCTATAGAACGGGAGATCCAGGATATGCTACAGATGGGTGTAATCCGCCCCTCTGGCAGTGCATGGGCATCTCTAGTTCCCAAACCAGATGGGGAGATACACCATTTAGCTTACGGTAGTCCACGCAAAAACTTAACTCGCCCAGATAACTATCCAATGC